TTTTAATTTTGCCTTTTTCAAATTTTCAATGTTTGGTGCGTCTCAGTTTTCTAGATTTCTAGATTTTTTAATTCTTAGATTTTGTGATTCTCCCATTTTTTGATTTCTCGACTTTTCGATGTTTCGATTTCGAGATTTCTCGATTTTTCAATTCTCAAATTTTTCTATTTTTTATTTTGAGTTTTCAATTTCTCGATTTTTCAAATTTTCCATTTCTCATTTTTTTGGATTTCTCGATTTTCCAATATTTTACTATTGCGATTTTTTAATTTTTTGATTCTTCAATTTTTCGATTTTTTTTATTTTTGCTTTTTTCAAATTTTCAATGTTTGGCGGTTCTCAGTTTTCCATTTCTCGATGTTTCAAATTTTCGTTATCTCGATTAATCGATTTTTCCACTCTTCGATTTCTCGAATTTTCGACTTTTTGATTTTCCCATTTTTTGATTTCTCGACTTTTCGAAATTTCGATTTCTAGATTTCTCGATTTTTCAATTCTTAAATTTTTTTATTTTTTATTTTGAGCTTTCAATTTCTCGATTTTTCAAATTTTCGTTATCTGGATTAATCGATTTTTCGATGCTTCGATTTCTCGATTTTTCGACTTTTCGATTTTTTGATTCTCCCATTTTTTGATTTCTCGAATTTTCGATGTTTCGATGTCTAGATTTCGCGATTTTTTTATTCTTAAATTTTTCGATTTTTTATTTCGATGTTTCAATTTCTTGATTTTTTACTTTTTGGATTTTAGGATTTTTCAATTCATCAATTTTTCAACTTTTTACTGTTTCAATTTCTCGATTTTTCAAATTTTCGCCATTATAATTTTTTGGATTTTTTAAATTTTTAGTTTTTTCGATTTCTTGATTTTCGATTATACAGTTAATTCTCATTTTTCGATTGTTCAATTTCAATTTTTGAATTTTTCAATTTATAGATTTTTTTACTTTAAATTTTCATTTCGCGGCTTTTCTATCTTTTCATGTTTCGATTTTTTGATGTTTCAATTTTTCAATTTTTCGATTTCTCGGTTTTTCAAATTTCGATGTTTCAATTTCTTGATTTTTTACTTTTTGGATTTTAGGATTTTTCAATTCATCAATTTTTCGACTTTTTGATGTTTCAATTTCTCGATTTTTCAAATTTTCGCCATTATCATTTTTTGGATTTTTTAAATATTTAGTTTTTTCGGTTTCTTGATTTTCGATTATTCAGTTAAATTTCATTTTTCGATTGTTCAATTTCAATTTTTGAATTTTTCAATTTATAGATTTTTTTACTTTAAATTTTCATTTCGCGACTTTTCTATCTTTTCATGTTTCGATTTTTTGATGTTTCAATTTTTCAATTTTTCGATTTCTCGGTTTCTCAATTTTCGGTTTTTTGATTTTTGGATTTTCCGACATTTAAGTTTTTTCAGTTTATTTGTTTTTCACTTATTCAAGTGTTCAAATGTTTCGATTTTCCCATTTTTAAATTTTTTAATATTATAGTTTTTCGATTTTTCGATGTTCCGGTTTTAGCTTCTTCAACTATCGATTTCTCAATTTTTTCGATATTTAGGTTTTTGGATTCTTCAATTTTTTGATTGTTCAATTCCTCGATTTTTCAATTTTTCGATTTCTTGATTTTTCAATTTTCGATTTCTCTTTTTTTTTAATTTTTCGATATCTCGATTTCCTATATTTTAGTATTGCGAATTTTCAATTTTTTGATTCTTTAATTTTTCGATTTTTTTATTTTTGCTTTTTTCAAATTTTCCATGTTTGGCGGTTCTCAGTTTTCTATTTATCGATCTTTCAAATTTTCGTTATCTCGATGAATCGATTTCTCGACTCTTCAATTTCTCGATTTTTCGACTTTTCGATTTTTTGATTCTCCCATTTTTTGATTTCCCGAATTTTCGATGTTTCGATTTCTAGATTTCGCGATTTTTTGATACTTATATTTTTAAATTTTTTATTTTGATGTTTCAATTTCTCGATTTTTCAATTTTTCGCCCATTTAATATTTTGGTTTTTTTAAGTTTTAGTTTTTTCGATTTTTCGATTTTCGATTATTCAGTTAATTTTCATTTTTCGATTGTTCAATTTCCCGACTTTTCAATTTTTGAGTTTTTCAGTTTATAGATTTTATTTAAAATTTTTCAGTTTTTAATTTTTCGTTTGGGCTATTTCCATTTCGCGACTTCTCTATCTTTACATGTTTCGATTTTTTGATGTTTCAATTTTTCAATTTTCGGTTTTTCGATTTTTAGATTTTTGGATTTTTGGATTTTCCAATTTTTCGATTTTCGCATTTTTCAATTTTTCCATATTTAAGTTTTTTCAATTTATTTATTTTTCAATTATTCAATTCTTCAAATTTTCATTTTTTTTATCGAGACTTTTTAAACTTTGGATTTTTCGATTTCTTAAATTTTACGTTTTTGGATTTTCCGATTTTTTGATGTTTCGATTTTCCGATTTTTAAATTTTTTAATGCATATTTCAGTTTTTCGATTTTTCGATGTTCCGATTTTTACCGTTTTCAACTATCGATTTCTCAATTTATTCGATATTTAGATTTTTGGATTCTTCTATTTTTCGATTGTTTAATTCCTCGATTTTTTAATTTTTCGATTTCTTGATTTTTCAAATTTTCGATTTCTCATTTTTTATTAATTTTTCGACTTCTCGATTTTCCGATATTTTAGTACAATTTTTGAATTTTTTGATTCTTCAATTTTTCGATTTTGCGTTTCTTCGTTTTCGATTTGTCGATTTTTCAAATTGTCGTTATTTGGATTTCTCGACTTTTCGATTTTTTGATTCTCCCATTTTTTTAATTCTCGACTTTCGATGTTTTAATTTCTAGATTTGGCGATTTTTCGATTTTTCGATTTTTTATTTCGATTTTTCAGTTTCTTGATTTTTTACCTTTTCGATTTTAGTATATTTCAATTTATCAATTTTTCGACTTTTTGATTATTCAAAAAAAAGATAAAGAGAAAAAAAATCAATTATCAATTTTTGAATTGTTCTATTTATGGATTTTTTTTTATTTTAAATTTTTCAGTTTTTAATTTTTCGTTTGGGCTGTTTCCATTTCGGGACTTCTCTATCTTTTCACGTTTCGATTTTTTGTTTCAATTTTTCAATGATTTGATTTTTCAATTTTCGGTTTTTCGATTTTTAGATTTTTGCATTTCCCGTTTTATTGATTTTTTTAATTTATTGATTTTCTGATTTGTCAGTTTATCGATTTTTCAATTGTTCGAAGATTTACATTTTTCGTTTTTACTATTTTGTGATGGTTCGATTTTTGGATTTTTAATTTTTTTAATATTGCTGTTTTTCGATTTTTACTTTTCGATTTTTTGGATATTTCAATTTTGGGATTTTTTTCGGGTGTTCAGTTCCTCAATTTTTCAATTTCTCGATTTTTCAAATTTTCGATTTTTAATTTTTTTTTATTTTTCAATTTTTTGATTCTTCAATTTTTCCATTTTTCAAATTTTTTCATTCTATTTTTCGACTTCTCAATTTTCCCATTTTTTGATTTCCCGATTTTTCGATGTCTCCATTTCTAGATTCCGCGATTTTTCAAATTTTCAATTCTTCAATTTTTTAATGACTCACCTATATATATATATATATATATATATATTTTTGAATTAACATTAAATATGCAAATTATTTTTTTATTTGCTTTTCCTTGACAACAATAATTGTTAAAAAAATTTTAAGAAAAACCCCAAAAAATTCGGTACCAAAAAAGCTTATTTAGAGACAAATTTGTAAATGTTATAAAGTATACAGGTGCCCCATTTGAAGAACACGAGAAAACTGACAACTTGTGAATTGAATCACCCTGTATAGAGAAATATCCATCTTTAAAAATGGCGGAACTATGCATTTTTAAACGAACTTTCTTCCCATAAAGACAAACTTCTTGAAAACTGTTGATTGCATCTAACATCGGTTTTTCTTTTTTCATAAAGAACCTAAATACAATGACACAAGTAAAAATATATAGGGTATTCCATTAAAAAAAACTTTTAAGTGGCTTCAATGTGAACAGTATTTTTGTTTAACTCAACTTTAAATGTAGAAAACACCAACAAATTTCTATTTGAAAAAGTAAACACTCTGCATTTTAGAACTCAATTTTTAATCAAAAAATACAGGGTGTTCCGTATTATTTTCTATGTTTACAGTTGATAGTTCTTGAGATTTTTAATTTTTTCAAGGAACCCATCGAAATATTGAAAAAGAGAAAGTAAAAAACGGAGTAAGATAAAATACAGGGTGTTTTATTTGAAAAAACTGTAATATTGATATTTGGAAATTGTGAAGCATTAAAATTTTATTTACTATATCCGAAATCAATAAATAATTAAAAATTTTTTAATGACAATAAACTTTATACAGTTAACTTCAGGATCCGTCCTGGGTCCGCTGCTTTTCTTGTCGTACATCAACGACTAGGTAACAATGGATAAACGAAGCGACATCCAACTATACCAAACTTAAAACACTAAAAATGATATTTTCTCTCGACGCGACTGTTTTTCCCTGAAACTCGACGCTCTCCGAACTGGAACATCTGCTTAACCTCCACTTGCTTAGCGCCCTTGATTGGAAAACCATTGACCTAAATTGAAAAGAAAATGCGCCACTGCAGCACTACTTACTATCACCACTCTGCAGAAAATCAAAGTAACAATTTTAAAGCATAACGAGAACCTCGCTCTCGCCGTAACAATTGATAAACGATTTCAACAAATGAGCTCTTTCGTTCGAAACGCCAACTGTTTCACCCTGACCTGCACTAGATAAAACGGTTTCGTTGCGAGCTTGAAGCGATTCCAAGAGTAAATAGAGATTTTATGATGGATACACGGGACGAGTGTGATGTAGTCTGCCAAGTTGGCGAAGAGCGAATCACCATTAAGGTCACGGCGCGGCGGTTCAGTCGTGTTGGAATTCCGCTAAATGGGAACGGATTTGGGTCGCTTACCTGTTCGCTGAGCGTAATTGTTTCTGGTAGACGAGATATGATTTTGAAGACGTAAATTTCCGTGGATCTGCACTGCATTGGTCGGCGACGTCGGATGTCAGCTTTCAGCCATAACGTGGCCGTCCTGACTCGGAATTCCTGACCCGCTTGTCCGGATTCCGGACTTACACGGAATTCTAACAGTCTATTCTGGTTTACCCTGGACCCTGGAACAGATTTGTGGGATTATTGGCGGGCCGCGGATGGCTGCTATGCGGCGGGGGCGAATCGGAATGTCTCGATTATGTGCTATCTCTGGGTCTGTCTATGGATGCGATTAAACGCAGTCGGATGGACGTATTTTGATTTTTAAAAATAATAAATATATACAAAGTGATAATCAAGGGAAAAATGAAGGTTGGTAGTTGGCTTGCCAACTAGTTCGAATGTGATAAAAGCGCGAATTATCACAAACTGCAGACATAATGTGTTAAGTCCTCATATATAATGTCGAGCGCCATAAATTTAATCTTATCGCAAGAATAATAGAAATATCATTTGCAAAATTTTAAAATTGTTAACAACGTTTATATACGAGTATGGTAAAAAATAAATTCTTGGCAATTTTCAAATCGGCGGATATTTAATAAATAATATTTTGGTGACAACATGGCAAGATCCCAAGAAAAAAAGGTAAAGAAATTTTGATAAAAATCCGTTCTTAGGGAAAATCTGAAAACATCGTTGTGTAGAATTTATTATCTTGATAAAAAACAAAATCTTGACGATTTCTTATATTTAGAATGTCAATAGGCGAAGCTTAAAGCATGTCAGTGTTTGAAGAGAAAAAAATAACAAAAAAGTGGAAAACATTTATTTTCTTGATGTTGGATTTCGAAATTTTGATAAAAAACAAAATCATGCTAATTTCGAAAATGACAATTTTTAATAAGTGTAGGTTTTATATAAACATTACAAGGTTGTAACAAAAAAACGAAGAAATTTCTAAAACAAGTTCCTATTTTGATAAAAAACTAAATCTTGGCAATTTCCTTATTTTTAGATTGTTAATAAATAGGTGAAGCTTAAAACAGGTCAAGGTTGTAAGAGAACAAGGGACAAGAAATATTAAAAATCTAATTCTTGACAACAATTTAATTAAATTTTTCATCAATATCATTTTTCAAAATTTTGATAAAAATCAAAATTATGGTAACTTCGAAAATATGGGTTTAAATGACTCTTATGCAGAAACATAACAAGGTTCGAAAAAGAAGGCGAAGAAATTTTGAAAAAAAACTGTCCTTGGGAAAGATATACAGTAAACAAATGAAGAATGTTCATATTTTGATAAAAACAAAATGTTGGCAATTTACGTGTTTTTAGATTCTCAAAAATGATTAAAACATGAAGCTTTAAAAAGAAAATATGAAAGAAATTTGGTGAATACAATTCTTGATAACCATTGAAATCTTTATCAATATGGAATTCCAAAATTTTGATAAAAAACAAATCATGTTAATTTCGAAATCGTCGGTTTTTAATAAGTGAATCTTTTATAGAAACATGACAAGGTTCGAACAAAAAGGCGGAGAAATTTTGAAAGACAGTTGTTGTTAAGAAAGATTTATAGTAAAAAATGGACAATGTTCATGTTTTGATAAAAAGCAAAATCTTGACAATTTCCGTCTTTTTAGATCGCCAAAGGTGAAGATTTAAACTTGTTAAAGCTTTGAGAGAAACTAAAGAGTTTTGGAAAATACAATTCTTGATAAGTATCTACTGAAATCTTTTATCAATATCGAATTTAAAAATTTTGATTACAAACAAAATCTCGACAATTTTATATATATAGATTGTCAGACGTGAAGATTAAAAAAAGCCTTCAGAGAAAAAAGGAAATGAATTTGGAAAGTACAATTCTTGATAAGTGTTCAAACCTTTTATCAATATCGAATTTCTAAATTTTGATAAAAAACAAAATAATGCTAATTTCCGTATCTTTAGACTGTCAAAAGTGAAGAATAAAATATGTTAAATTCGAAATTGAATTTTTAATATGTGAATCTTTTATACAAATATGACAAGGTTCCAAAAAAAGACGAAATTTTGAAAAAAAAAAGTTCTTGGGAAAGATGTACAGTAAAAAATGAAGAATTTAATACATATTTTAATAAAAAGAAAAATTTGACAATTTTCGTATTTTTAGATTGTCAAAGGTGAAGATTAAAACACGTGAAAGCTTTAAGATAAAATAAGATAGAAATTTGGAAAATACAGTTCTTGAAAAGTTTTGCAATTTTTTATCAATATGGAATTTCAAAATTTTGATAAAAAACCAAAGTCTTGACAATTTCCGTCTCTTTAGATTGTTAAAGTTGAAGATTAAAAAAAGGCTTTCAGAGAAAAAAGGTAATGAATCTAGAAAGTACAATTCTTGATAAGTGTTCAAATCCTTTATGAATATCGAATTTCTAAATTTTGATAAAAAACAAAATATGCTAATTTCCGTATCTTTAGACTGTCAAAGGTGAAGAATAAAACATGTTAAATTCGAAATCGAATTTTTAATATGTGAATCTTTTATAGAAGTATGACAAGGTTCCAAAAAAAAGACGAAATTTTGAAAAAAAAAGTTCTTGGGAAAGATGTACAGTAAAATATGGAGAATGTTAATGTTTTGATAAAAAGAAAAATTTGACAATTTTCGTATTTTTAGATTGTCAAAGGTGAAGATTAAAACATGTGAAAGCTTTAAGAGAAAATAAGATAGAAATTTGGAAAATACAGTTCTTGAAAAGTTTTGCAATTTTTTATCAATATCGAATTTCAAAATTTTGATAAAAAACCAAAGTCTTGACAATTTCCGTCTCTTTAGATTGTTAAAGTTGAAGATTAAAAAAAGGCTTTCAGAGAAAAAAGGTAATGAATCTAGAAAGTACAATTCTTGATAAGTGTTCAAATCCTTTATCAATATCGAATTTCTAAATTTTGATAAAAAACAAAATATGCTAATTTCCGTATCTTTAGACTGTCAAAGGTGAATAATAAAACATGTTAAATTCAAAATCGAATTTTTAATATGTGAATCTTTTCTAGAAATATGACAAGCTTCCAAAGAAAAAGACGAAATTTTGAAAAAAAAACGTTCTTGGGGAAGATGTACAGTAAAAAATGGAAAATGTTAATATTTTAATAAAAAGAAAAATTTGACAATTTTCGTATTTTTAGGTTGTCAAAGATGAAGATTAAAACATGTGAAAGCTTTAAGATAAAATAAGATAGAAATTTGGAAAATACAATTCTTGAAAAGTTTTGCAATTTTTTATCAATATGGAATTTCAAAATTTTGATTAGAAACCAAAGTCTTGACAATTTCAGCCTCTTTAGATTGTCAAAGGTGAAGATTAAAAAAGGCTTTCAGAGGAAAAAAGGAAATGAATTTGGAAAGTACAATTCTTGAAAAGTGTTCAAATATCAATATCGAATTTCTAAATTTTGATAAAAAACAAAATATTGCTAATTTTCGTATCTTTAGACTGTCAAAGGTGAAGAATAAAACATGTTAAATTCGAAATCGAATTTTTAATATGTGAATCTTTTATAGAAGTATGACAAGGTTCCAAAAAAAGACGAAATTTTGAAAAAAAAAGTTCTTGGGAAAGATGTACAGTAAAATATGGAGAATGTTAATGTTTTGATAAAAAGAAAAATTTGACAATTTTCGTATTTTTAGATTGTCGAAGGTGAAGATTAAAACATGTGAAAGCTTTAAGAGAAAATAAGATAGAAATTTGGAAAATACAGTTCTTGAAAAGTTTTGCAATTTTTTATCAATATCGAATTTCAAAATTCTGATAAGAAACCAAAGTCTTGACAATTTCTGTCTCTTTAGATTGTTAAAAGTGAAGATTAAAAAAAGGCTTTCAGAGAAAAAGGGAAATGAATTTGGAAAATACAATTCTTGATAAGTGTTCAAATCTTTTATCAATATCGAATTTCTAAATTTTGATAAAAAACAAAACATTGCTAATTTCCGTATCTTTAGACTGTCAAAAGTGATGAATAAAATATGTTAAATTCAAAATTGAATTTTTAATATGTGATTCTTTTATAGAAATTTGACAAGGTTCCAAAAAAAGACGAAATTTTGTAAAAAAAAGTTCTTGGGAAAGATGTACAGTAAAAAATGGAGAATGTTAATATTTTGAAAAAAGAAAAATTTGACAATTTTCGTATTTTTAGATTGTCAAAGGTGAAGATTAAAACATGTGAAAGCTTTAAGAGAAAATAAGATAGAAATTTGGAAAATACAATTCTTGAAAAATTTTGCAATTTTTTTATCAATATCGAATTTCAAAATTTTGATAAGAAACCAAAGTCTTGACAATTTCCGCCTCTTTAGATTGTCAAAGGTGAAGATTAAAAAAAGGCTTTCAGAGAAAAAAGGAAATGAATTTAGAAAATACAATTCTTGATAAGTGTTCAAATCTTTTATCAATATCGAATTTCTAAATTTTGATAAAAAGCAAAATAATGCTAATTTCCGTATCTTTAGACTGTCAAAGGCGAAGAATAAAACATGTTAAATTCGAAATCGAATTTTTAATATGTGAATCTTTTATAGAAATATGACAAGGTTCCAAAAAAAGACGAAATTTTGAAAAAAAAGTTCTTGGGAAAGATGTACAGTAAAAAATGGAGAATATTAATATTTTGATAAAAAGAAAAATTTGACAATTTTTCGTATTTTTAGATTGTCAAAGGTGAAGATTAAAACATGTGAAAGCTTTAAGATAAAATAAGATAGAAATTTGGAAAATACAATTCTTGAAAAGTTTTGCAATTTTTTATCAATATGGAATTTCAAAATTTTGATAAGAAACCAAAGTCTCGACAATTTCCCCCTCTTTAGATTGTCAAAGGTGAAGATTAAAAAAGGCTTTCAGAGGAAAAAAGGAAATTAATTTGGAAAGTACAATTCTTGATAAGTGTTCAAATCTTTTATCAATATCGAATTTCTAAATTTTGATAAAAAACAAAATATTGCTAATTTCCGTATCTTCAGACCGTCAAAAGTGAAGAATAAAACATGTTAAATTCGAAATCGAATTTTTAATATGGGAATCTTTTATAGAAAAATGACAAGGTTCCAAACAAAAAGACAAAATTTTGAAAAAAAAAAGTTCTTGGGTAAGATGTACAGTAAAAAATGGAGAATGTTAATACATATTTTAATATAAAGAAAAATTTGACAATTTTCGTATTTTTAGATTGTCAAAAGTGAAGCTTAAAACATGTGAAAACTTTAAGATAAAATAATATAGAAATTTGGAAAATACAATTCTTGAAAAGTTTTGCAATTTTTTATCAATACCGAATTTCAAAATGTTGATAAGAAACCAAAGTCTTGATAATTTCAGCCTCTTTAGATTGTCAAAGATGAAGTTTAAAAAAGGCTTTCAGAGAAAAAATGGAAATTAATTTGGAAAGTACAATTCTTAAAAGTGTTCAAATCTTTTATCAATATCGAATTTCTAAATTTTGATAGAAAATATAATATGCTAATTTCCGTATCTTTAGATTGTCAAAAGTGAAGATTTAAACATGTTAAGACTTTAAGAGAAAAAGGAAAGAAATTTCGAATATACAATTCTTGATAAGTATTGAAATCTTTTATCAATATCGAATTTCAAAATTTTGATAAAAAACAAAATCATGCTAATTTCCGTATCTTTAGATTGTCAAAGGTGTTAAAGCTTTGAGAAAAAAAGTAAAGAAACTTCGAATATACAATTATTGATAAGTATTGAAATATTGTATCAATATTGGATGTCTAAATTTTGATAAAAAACATAATCATGCTAATTTCCGTATCTTTAGACTGTCAAAGGTGAAGATTGAAATATTTCAAGGCTTGAAAAAAAAAGGAAAAGAAATTTGAAAAATACAATTATTCTTGATAACTACTGAAATCTTTTATCCATAACAAATTTCAAAAGTTTGATAAAAAACAAAATATTTACAATTTCCCCATGTTTAGATTGTCAAGAATGAAGACATCAAGGCTTTAAGAAAAAATGGAAAGAAATTTGGAAAATACAATTCTTGATACGTATTGAAGTCTTTTATCAATATTGAATTTCTAAATTTTGACAAAAAACAAAATCATGCTAATTTTCCTATTTTTAGATTGTCAAAGGTGAAGATTAAAACAAGTTAAGGCTTTAAGAGAAAATAAGGGGCAAATTTGGAAAATACAATTCTTGATTACTATTGAATTTTTTTGTCAATATCAAGTTGCAAAATTTTGATAAAAAAACAAAATCTTGACAATTTACGCATCTTTAGATTGTCAAAGGTGAATTGTCAAGTCTTTAAGAGAAAAAAGGAAAGAAATTTGGAAATACAATTCTTGATAAGTATTGAATTCTTTTATCAATATCGAATTTCTAAATTTTGATAAAAAACAAAATATTTACAATTTCCGCATGTTTAGATTGTCAAGGGCGAAGAAATTTGGAAAATACAATTCTTGATAAATGATAACTATTGAAATATTTTATCAATATCGAATTTAAAAATTTTGATAAAAGACAACTAATCGTCGGTTTTTAATCAGTGAAGTCTTTCTTGGGAAAAATCTGAAACTGCAAAGAAACGTGGAATTTTCACATTTTGATAAAAACTTAATTCTTGGCAATTTCCAAAAGGTCGGATTTTTAATAAATGATGTTTTTGTGAAAACATGGCGGAATTCTGAGAAAAAAAGTGAATCAATTTTGAAAAAAATCCGGCTTTTGGAAAAATCCGAAATCATATAGAGGTGTAGGATTTTCTTAGTTTGATAAAAAAAAAATATATGAATTTAAAACTTTTTGAAATTTTGAAGTCATTGGCTTTTTGAAAAGTTATGAAATTTTGAAAAAAAATATTTGTAAGAAAAATTTGATACATTATCGGATTTTCCTATTTTGAAAAACAAAATCTTTACAATCTCCCCACCTTTAAATTCTTAATATGTGAAGGTTAAAGCGTGGCAGGGTTTTAAGAGAAAAAAAAAGAAGAAGAAATTTGGAAAATACAGTTTTGGATATTTTTTTTATCAATATCAGATTTTAAAATGTTGATAAAAAACAAAATCATGCTAATTTAGAATTGTAAGAAGAATTGACAAAAAAAAGGAAAAAATTTCGAAAAAATCGATTCTTAAGAAAAATTTGTTACCTTATCGGAGTATAGGATTTTCACAATTCAAGAACAAGAAATTTGGAAAATGCAGTTCTTGATATTTTTTATCAACATCAGATTTCAAAATTTTGATAAAAAACAAAATCATGTTAATTTAGAATTCTAAGAAGAACAGGCAAAAAATAAAAAAAATGTATAGAAATGTTGAATGTTCAAAGGAATTTTGAAAAAAAAAGGTTATTAAGAAAAATCTGAAATCTTATCTTAACATACAATTTTCAAATTTTAAGAAAAAATAAAATTTTGACAAATTCCCTATATTTAGATTATTAGTAGGTGAATCTTAAAACATACTTATCAAAGTTTTAAGATAAAAAAGGACAATCAATTTGGAAAATAAAATTCTTGATAACAATTTAAATTTTTTATCAATATCAAATTTCAAAATTTTGATAAGAAATAAAAACCTGTAATTTCGAAACCGTCGGATTTTTAATGAAGCTTTTACTGAAATACGACAAGCTTCTAAAAAAATGGACGATAAATAAAAAAACTTCTTGAGAAAAATTTGAAAATATATCGAAACGCTGAATGTTCATATTTTGATAAAGAATAGAATTTTCGAAACTTCTACAACGTAGAATTTTTAGTAAGTAAAATTTTTAAGAAAACACTACAAGATGCTAAGAAAAATAGCAAAAGAATTTTGAAAAAATCAGTGGTTAACAAAAATCTTAAACTTTCTAAGGAAGCAGAATTTTCAAATTTTCAACAAATACAAATTCATGACATTTTCTTTATTTTAAGGTTGTTAATAGCTGAAACATGTCTAGGTTCAAATACTTAAAAAAAAATAATTTTTTTATCAAAAATCGAATTCCGAAATTTTGATAAAAAACAAAGACATGTTAATCTCGAAATCGTCGGATATTTAATAAGTTTTTATTGAAACACGACAAGGTTCAACGAAAAAGAGGTGGAGAATAAAAAAAGTTCAAACACTAATATTAAGTAGCATTCGATAGAAAAATATAGTCATACTGCATACAATTTATTGCAAGCACAAAATACAAATCAACTTCAATGTTTCTTATCTGTGACACATATTTGTGTTATTTATTTACGAGCTTGTTCACCTAGTAAATTTGAGCCAACAAAAATATCACTAAAAACAATATAATTGACAAAACTCGGAAAAAATATTAACGAAAACATGTAATAATTTTACATTTGTCATTTTTTGACATTATCAGCGTGGTTTAATCACCGAAAATAGGTTGCGCGAAATTATTATCCAACAATAAATTTCGACTAGCACATAAATTTTAATCGTGAATTAAGTATCAAAAGCAAACGTTCTCATAAATAGTACCTGCATTATCCGAATTTCACCGACCTAGCCCGACACACAGTAAACAAACATCGTTACTCACTTCATTGTCAACTTAATAATATCAGTATAACTTTGTATGCGGCGAAGGTCACCCGTTAGTACCGGCTCACACTAAATTATCTAACAAGAACATGAACACTGTTCTTCCAGCCATCGTTCTAATATTTTCTCTTTGTCACCAAGCTATTTCGTAAGTACCACCACACACAAATACCCTAAAATAATTGTTTAACTCTATCAAGCATCGAAAACAAATTCCCCGATGATTTTCTATTCGGAGTTGCTAGTTCCGCGTACCAGATTGAAGGCGGGCACGACAAACGAGGTAAGTACTACTCTAGTAACAATTAAAAAACATTCAAACGTCTAAACACATAGGCGAAACCGTACTAGACCACTACCAACGCTTAGACCCATCAATCATATCCGACTCATCCGACGCCAAAATCGCCTGCGACTCGTACCACAAGTACCACGAAGACATCAACCTTCTCGAGTACTTAGGGGTTGATTTCTACCGATTCTCGATCTCTTGGCCCAGGATTTTACCCACTGGGTACTCAAACAAGATAAATCCGGACGGCATCCGGTACTACAACAACCTAATTGATGGTTTAATCTCCAAAAACATTACCCCAATGGTCACTATATTCCACTACGACTTACCCAAGCCTCTGCAAGACTTAGGTGGATGGTTTAACCCCACCACTGCCGATTTATTCGAGGACTATAGTAAAATCCTGTTCAAAAATTTCGGCGATAGAGTGAAATTCTGGATTACTTTGAACGCGAATACTTGGGGGTACGCAGACCCGATGTTCCCTCCCATGCTCAACCTATCGGGATTGGGGGAGTACTTGTGTTACAAAACTATCCTGTTAGCGCACGCCAAAGCGTACCATTTATACAAAAAGGAGTTCCGAGACGAGCAAAAAGGGCAAGTCGGGTTAACCATTGATGGGCGCTGGTACCACCCAGCCACTACTAGTACCAACGATATTGAAGCCGCTGAAAGAGTACGAGAGTTCTTAATCGGTACTCTAGCGAACCCTATTTTTGGCGAAGGTGATTTTCCCAAAGTCGTTAAAGAACGGGTAGCTGAACTCAGCCACAAGGAAAATTTTTTGAAATCGCGACTACCACAATTGTCACCTGAGGAAGTAGATTTTATTAAAGGCTCGTACGACTTTCTGGGTTTAAACAGCTACACCACTTATTTGATTAAGGACGATCGTAGCAAGGATAACTGGGATTCCTTCTCAGAGAGTAAAGATTTGGGGGCTAAGCTTTACCAGGACCCTGAGTGGCCGGGGAGTTTGTCTGATTGGTTGAAGGTGGTACCGTGGGGTTTGCGTGGTGTTCTCAAATGGGTTAAAGATAAATATAATAATCCTCCGGTTTTTATTACCGAGAATGGGTTTTCGGACTCTGGGGAGTTGGAGGATGAGGGGAGAATACAATATTATAAGGTATAACTATCTATATAATTATAATCTAGACAATTCATTGGGGGTTGTAGTTGCACCTAGAGGCCTTATTGGAAGCGATCCATGAGGATGGGGTTAATGTTAAAGGGTACGCGGCGTGGAGTTTACTGGATAATTTTGAGTGGATGGTGGGATATAGGTGAGTACGGGTACTTAAAAAGATTTGTGAACTGATAGCATAACAGTGTGTTTGAATGATTAATAGTAGGTGGGTGATTAAGTCAAGTTTTCAAGGTTTCTGTCGAGTCATGGTAGAACGATAACTAGTTGAAGCTAATATTTCAAAAACTTTGTGAATAATTTGAATAGTTATTGCGTTAATCGTTTTAATCTTCATTTTGCTTGAAAAATTTCCTGCAAAATTTGGTGTACGACAAGGCTGAATACTAGATCCGACGTCATTTTTAGTTTATATTAACGATTTTTTTGTATGAATTCTTACCATGCTTTATGTAGGAAAAACTAAATGGAGACAACACATATGAAAAATCGGTGTGCTGTTAATTTGTATATTTTATTATTATTTATTTTAAAGGTTTTCAAATTAATTTTTGATAAATATTATATAACAAATTATGTTTTAAATTCAGTATAACCGAGCAACATTTTATTTGATAATTTTATCATTCATTAACATTGTGAATAACATAGGGCTTAAAATGCTTCCATTCAGCACATCCTCTTTGAGTTATTCTTCTATTATTATTATGTGTGTTGTTATTATATTTAGAACATTCTCTTCCTATTTTCCTCTTATTATTATGTGACTTCCACTTTTTCGTCTCTAACTGTTTTTCAAAATATAGAATTTTAAGAAAGAAATCGATTTAAGAATATTTTATTTCACCGTTTAATCATTCGGTAAAATTGTGAATAATATTTGGCTTAAAATGTCTCTTTGGCTAACCAGAGTCAACACATCTTCTTTGACTTCTCCTCTTGTTATTGTACATCTTTTATATTTCCATAAAGTGTTAAATTTTAATATATTTTTCATCTCTAATTGTACATCAAAACATCTTTTTTTTAATGGAAAATTGTCAATTTTATCAATATTTTATGTAATAGTTGTATCGCTCCTTAATAGCGTGAATAACTCTGGACTTAAAATGTCTCCTTGGAATAACCACATTCGACACATTTTCTTTTTATTCTTCAATTGTTTTTATAAAATCTCTAGTTTTTCGTAAACAATTGTTTTTTTTTTCTTATTTTTTATATCTTTCTCGTCTTTAACTGTTGTTCAAAATATAGAGTTTTAAGAAAGAAATCGATTTAGGAATATTTTATTTCATCATTGTATCATTCGGTAAAATTGTGAATAATAGTGGACTTAAAATATCTCTGTTGGGCTAACCACTTTCACGAGGTTTTCTTTAACTTGTCTTCTTGTTATTTATAAATCCTCCATTTTTCCATTAAGTAATAATTCTTTTTCGTTTTTCCTATCTTTTTCGTCTCCGACTATTCTTCAAGATATTGAATTTTTTTAAAAGGGTCAAATTTGGCAATATTTTATTATTCGCTAAAATTGTGAATAATATTTGGCTTAAAATGTCTCTTTGGCTGACCATAGTCAACACATTTTCTTTGACTTCTCCTCTTGTTATTGTATATCTTTTATTTTTCCATAAAATATTAAATTTTGATATATTTTTCATCTCTAATTGTACATCAAAACATTTTTTTTTAGTGGAAAATTTTCAATTTTATCAATATTTTATTTAATAGTTGTATCGTTCCTTAATAGCGTGAATAACTCTGGACTTAAAATGTCTCCTTGGAATAACCACATTCGACACATTTTCTTTTTATTCCTCAATTGTTATTATAAAATCTCTAGTTTTTCGTAAAGAATTGTTTTTTTTTTCTTATTTTTTAAATCTTTCTCGTCTTTAATTGTTGGTCAAGATATAGAGTTTTAAGAAAGAAATCGATTTAGAAATATTTTATTTCATCATTTTATCATTCGGTAAAATTGTGAATAAGAGTGGACTTAAAATACCTCTCTTGGGCTAACCACTTTCACGATGTTTTCTTTAACTTCTGTTCTTGTTATTTATAAATCCTCCGTTTTTCCATTAAGTAATATTTCTTTTTCATTTTTCCTATCTTTTTCGTCTCCGACTATTCTTCAAAATATTGAATTTTTTTAAAAGGGTCAAATTTGGCAATATTTTATTTGATCATTTTATTATTCGCTAAAATTGTGAATAATATTTGGCTTAAAATGTCTCTTTGGCTGACCATAGTCAACACATTTTCTTTGACTTCTCCTATTGTTATTGTATATCTTTTATTTTTCCATAAAATATTAAATTTTGATATATTTTTCATCTCTAATTGTACATCAAAACATCTTTTTTTTTAATGGAAAATTGTCGATTTTATCAATCAATATTTTATTTAATAGTTGGATCGCTCCTTAATAGCGTGAATAACTCTGGACTTAAAATGTCTCCTTGGAATAACCACATTCGACACATTTTCTGTTTATTCTTCAATTGTTATTATAAAATCTCAAGTTTTTCGTAAACAATTGTTTTTTTTTTCTTATTTTTTATATCTTTCTCGTCTTTAATTGTTGTTCAAAATATGGAGTTTTAAGAAAGAAATCGATTTTGGAATATTTTATTTCATCACTTTATCATTCGGTAAAATTGTGAATAACAGTGGACTTAAAATACCTCTCTTGGGCTAACCACTTTCACGATGTTTTCTTTAACTTCTCTTCTTGTTATTTAAAAATCCCCCATTTTTCCATTAAGTAATATTTCTTTTTCATTTTTCCTATCTTTTTCGTCTCCGACTATTCTTCAAAATATTGAATTTTTTTAAAAGGGTCAAATTTGGCAATATTTTATTTGATCATTTTATTATTCGCTAAAATTGTGAATAATATTTGGCTTAAAATGTCTCTTTGGCTGACCATAGTCAACACATTTTCTTTGACTTCTCCTATTGTTATTGTACATCTTTTATTTTTCCATAAAGTGTTAAATTTTGATATATTTTTCATCTCTAATTGTACATCAAAACATCTTTTTTTTAATGGAAAATTGTCGATTTTGTCAATATTTTATTTAATAGTTTTATCGCTCCTTAATAGCGTGAATAACACTGGACTTAAAATGTCTCCTTGGAATAAGCACATTCGACACATTCTCTTTTTATTCTTAAATTGTTATTATAAAATCTCTAGTTTTTCGTAAACAATTGTTTTTTTTCTTGTTTTTTATATCTTTCTCGTCTTTAATTGTTATTCAAAATATAATGTTTTAAGAAAGAAATTGATTTAGTAATATTTTATTTCATCATTTTATCATTCGGTAAAATTGTGAATAACAGTGGACTTAAAATATCTCTGTTGGGCTAACCACTTTCACGAGATTTTCTTTAACTTCTCTTATTGTTATTTATAAATCCTCCATTTTTCCATTAAGTAATATTTCTTTTTCATTTTTCCTATCTTTTTCGTCTCCGACTATTCTTCAAGATATTGAATTTTTGAAAAGAGTCAAATTTTGCAATATTTTATTTGGTCATTTTATCCTTCGCTAAAATTGTGAATAATATTTGGTTCAAAATGTCTCTTTGGCTAACCATAGTCAACACATCTTTGACTTTTCCTCTTGTTATTGTACATCTTCTATTTTTCCGTAAACTATTAAATTTTATATATTTTTCATCTCTAATTGTACTTCAAAACATCTTTTTTTTTTATGGAAAATTGTCGATTTTATCAATGTTTTATTTGATCGTTGTATCGTTCGTTAATACCGTGAATAACACTGGACTTAAAATATCTCCTTGGAATAACCACATTTGGCACATCTTTTTTTATTCTTCGATTGTTATTATAAGAACTCTAGTATTTCGTAAACTATTAATTTTTTTCTCATTTTTTATATCTTTCTTGCGTCTAACAGTTTTTCAAAATATAGAATTTTAAGAAAGAAATTGATTTAAAAATATTTTATTTCATCGTTTAATCATTCGGTAAAATTGTGAATAATAGTGGGTTTAAAATACCTCCTTGGGCTAACCACATTCAGGATGTCTTCTTTAACTTCTCTTCTTGTTATTTACAATTCCTCCATTTTTCCACTGCGTAATATTTCTTTTTCATTTCTCCTGTTGTTTTCGTCTGTAACTATTCTTCAAAATATTGAATTTTTGAAAAGAGTCAAATTTTGCAATATTTTATTTGGTCATTTTATCCTTCGCTAAAATTGTGAATAATATTTGGTTCAAAATGTCTTTTTGGCTAACCATAGTCAACACATCTTCTTTGACTTTTCCTCTTGTTATTGTACATCCTCTATTTTTCCGTAAACTACTAAATTTTGATATATTTTTCATCTCTAACTGTACTTCAAAACATCTTTTATTATGGAAAATTGTCGATTTTATCAATATTTTATTTGATCGTTGTATCGTTCGTTAATATCGTGAATAACACTGGACTTAAAATATCTCCTTGGAATAACCACATTTGGCACATCTTTTTTTATTCTTCGATTGTTATTATAAGATCTCTAGTTTTTCGTAAACTATTGATTTTTTTCTCGTTTTTTATACCTTTCTTGCGTCTAACAGTTTTTCAAAATATAGAATTTTAAGAAAGAAATTGATTTAAAAATATTTTATTTCATCGTTTAATCATTCGGTAAAATTGTGAATAACAGTGGGTTTAAAATACCTCCTTGGGCTAACCACATTCAGGATGTCTTTTTTAACTTCTCTTCTTGTTATTTACAAATTCTCCATTTTTTCATTGCGTAATATTTATTTTTCATTTCTCCTGTCTGTTTCGTCTGTAACTATTCTTCAAGATATTGAATTTTTGAAGAGTCGAATTTTGCAATATTTTATTTGATCATTTTATCATTCGCTAAAATTATGAATAATATTTGGTTCAAAATGTCTCTTTGGCTAACCACAGTCAACACATCTTTGACTTTTCCTCTTGTTGTTGTACATCTTCTATTTTTCCGTAAATTATTAAATTTTGATATATTTTTCATCTCTAACTGTACTTTAAAACATCTTTTTTTATGGAAAATTGTCGATTTTATCAATGTTTTATTTGATCGTTGTATCGTTCGTTAATACCGTGAATAACACTGGACTTAAAAT